TAACGCTGGACCCAATAGACTTTCGGATATCCAATCCTACCCGAAGGTCGAATCAACATTCTCAGGCTATAAGGTCTTTATTATGCACATCCGTGATGCATACACTAAACATCTACAGTTATGATGTCAATTTCACGTACAAGAAACCCTAGGCTAATAGGCATCATGTAATCAGGAAAATCTATCATGCGATTCCTAAATATCCTTAGCCTAGCACTAGCATGTTGTTCGAACATATCAGAATATCAAATAACTGCATGGTATTTTGGGGTGTACTTACAGGCTCCGGCTGATTGTACCCTCTGCATCCTCCATCCTTTATTTTGAAAACCATTTTAAAACTTACTTTCCAAAAATCTCCTTGATTTGAGACTAGATTCACACGAGTGTTCCTCCAATTCACTCAAACCAAGGCTATGATACCAACTTGTAACATCCATAAATTTTACGCCAAATTTAAACTTTTCAATCATAAATAAAAAACCAAATAGCATTGTTTACAAAATGTTTTCAAATCATTATCCATCAGAGTGTCCCAAAAATCATAACATAAGGATGAGGAGCGGTACGATCACGCCTTCACCTTTCCATGATCTCCTGAAGTACCTGAAACAATAAACTGAAAACTGTAAGCCCGAGGGCTTAGTGAGTTACCCCCAAAATACCAATACCACACTGACAATACCATATCAGTAATAATCAATCAATCAACATGCATATTGGGCCATTAGCCTGACTGGACTTCCCTATAGGGCCTACAGTCTATCTGGATCTATCCTGAGCCTTCGGCATGACTGGTTCGCCACGTGGGCCTACAGTCTCCCCGGACCGCTCATAGGGTGTGTTGGCCTACAGCACAAAGCAGGTCCGCCTCAACCCAACCAACAAGCAAATACTATGTACGCATAACTATCATATACTAGCATATATAAACATCAAGCATATTTATCACTGGTCATCAATCATAGAATTCTCTCGTAACTAGAGTGCTGACCTAGCAGGTCAATAATATACCAATCCCTACGGATCATAAAAGCATAACATACTGTCTACCATGATTCCGATCTAACAGATTATAACCACATATAACATACCATAACAATAACAACTAAAGGGTCGACCTTGGTGCCGTAGACCCTATCGATATAGTGAGGATAACTCACCTCGCAGATGTCGACTCGGAAGGTAAGCTCCAACTCTCGGATCACTTCAAATAGGCTCCACCACCTATAGCACAATATGCTCGTAAGTCTTTAACCTTATAAGGTATTATATAACCCACTAGTCAACCCCTGATCAAAGTCAAAGCCCTCAGTCAAGGTCAACAATCCATGTTGACCTCGACTCACCGAGTACCCTCGGCTACTCGCCGAGTTCCTTGAAGCACATTCCAACTCACTGAGTCATTAGGGTGACTCGTCGAGTTCCTTCGATTCTCGGACAAACTTTAAGGCCACCCGTCGAGTTCCCTCTTTGCAACTCGACAGATACACACGCATACATATCCATGAGAAAACTCATCTGACTCACTGAGTTGTTCTTCAACTTGTCGAGTCTATGGCAATCATCATCGGACTCGCCGAGTTGTTCATCCAACTCGTCGAGTCCACGGTCATCTTCATGTGACTCGCCGAGTCTATTAAGTCCTTTTTCCATTCAAACCTATTTTGAGCCATATAGCAGCTCCAACTCACAGATCCAAGCTTCTAAGGCATGCTAGTCACGTAAAGTTGCAAACTTTACGTGCATGCATGGCTTTAAATGCTCCAAATGCCAAATCTAAGCTCTTAATGGGGCTTCATGCCCAAGAGGGACCTACAGGGTTGTCACGACGTGATGAGGGTTGATCAACGATTATTTCGTCTTATTATTCCACGACGTGACCAATGGATGGTCATGACGTGGCGGCTAGCTGAATGACCTTGGAGTATTAATTTTGATTGTTGACTTTGACCTAGTTTGACTTTAGGTCAAATTTAGGGTTTTAGACTGAAGTTTGAGAATTAGCCCATGTTTGTTGTATAAATAACATGTGGAGTTGGTTACTGGATCTGTGTATGGTAATGTTGTTTTCATATATATGAGACGAGTTTTCCTCACTGTACTTGTGGGTCGAAGGCACCAATGCCGACCTACTAGATTGTGTTATGTATCCTTGTGTATAAGATGTTGATATGCGGTAGTGATCTACTTGATTGGTAGATTTTGTATGATTACCCGTACTTTCTGGTTAATGATTATTGTTTGCATATGTCGACATATAGTTGGGGTGAGGCGGTCCTTCTTTGTGCTGAAGTCCAAGATACCCGGACGATACAACTGATATTGTAGGCCCAAGGGAATGGTCCATCTTATGTTGTAGGCTTGGGAGCGGTCCAACTTTATGATGTAGGCTCAGGTGGCGGTCCAACCTTGTGTTGTAGGCCTTGTGTGCATGCATTATATTTGTGTTATGTGTGGGGTATTTTGAGGGAACTCGCTAAATTTAGGCTTGCAGTTGTTGATTTCAATGTTTTCAGGTACTTCAGATGATCGGAGCAAGGCAAATGCATCATCATACACATCCTCCTGCTAATTTATGTTTGAGAGAGTTTTGATACTCTGATTCTATGGATTTTTTTATTTGAAAACAATGGTTCATATCTTGTGGTTTTTGTGAAATGTTTTATATAAAAATGAAAAAAAATTTATCAACATTTTTGGAATGTTACAAAACAAACAAAAATTAGCTAGTTCAAGACAAAAATTATATATATATATATATCGATTTAAAGAAAGATCGACAAATAATTCAAAATATTTTTGTTTACGGTAAGTTAATATATTTCACATAATTGATTAATTAGTAAAATAAAAATGAAAATAATATTGGTTTATGGTATACAATGTCTAACTAAAGAGAAAATAAAAAGTTTCTTTTTTCTTGAAAATTTAGTATTTTTGGATGTCCAATTAATATATGAATCCATATCCGAAATTTTGTATAGGTTTCAGATATCAATATCAATTATCCAAAATTTTGGATACCCAATTTTGATCACCTCTAGGATAATAGTGATACTTTTTTGCCATCCAGAGGGACCATTTATGTTATTTATTTATTTATTATTATTATTATTATTATTATTATTATTATTATTATTATTATTATTATTATTTATAAAAACATATAATTTTAGAAGTTACAACTTGTTGTTATATATAAACCATACATCAATATCGACATTTATTGAATCATCTTAGTAGTGAAAGATTATATAACAAATATTCTCCATGTGAATTTTGACTTAGTAAATGCTACTTTTGGGCGACCACATAATGAGCAAATAGGTGTCCAAATTGACTCATCAAAGGATGAATGTGCAGAACAACAATATAGGAGTTTTTCAAAAATGAAGAAGTTGTTATGCAAAAGCACGAATACTACTTGTACGTCTTAAAACTCTCAAAATTTTACCGATCATAAGAGTCTGAAACAAGTTTTTGACAAAAATGATTGAAATTTGATGACAACAACATTATGTTGTATGATACATGTATATAATTTGATTTATTAAATATTTCACATGCAAAACTGATATATTTATTCACATGCAAAAAAATTATAAAAATAAATATTTTCAGCTTTTTAAATAAAAATAACAAATCTTAAAAAAAAAATCAGATAGTTGTCCGTGATGAATTATTTGAAAATACACCAGCGTCAAGTAGCAGTGGCGATGGAAATGGAATATTTTGAAAGCATGATTGGTTATTTTAGAAAAAAGAAATATGATGGTTAAAAAATAAAATGGATATTACAACATCTATAGTAGCTGTTATTAACACGCTACCTAAAAAATAGAAAATAAAACATATTTTTTTGAATTTACTAAGATTATACCAAACACACCCTCACAAGAAACCTATATTCCTCTTTTCTTTTACATACTCCTTTTGCAAATCAAAACCCTTATTTATATATATATATATATATATATATATATATATATATATATATATATATATATATATATATATATATATATATATATATATATATATATATATATTATTATTATTATTATTATTATCCCTCCTTTTGTTTTCAGTACAAGAACAAATCTTAATGACTGTATCTAATCTAGAACATTAATGTGAGAATAAGTTTAAACTCTAAACTTTCAAATAAGAATATCATAAATTGAAAAAAACAAACCACTTCTAATATAATTTTTGAATTCACCGGATAATAACGATTGGTCAAGAGTCAACATGATTTAATGATAAAATAAACAACCAACATGAAATATAAATATCAATCATTTATTTATAACAATACATTTGTAGCAAACAACTTTTATCATCTATTCTCTATACTAATAAAAGAGTAGTTCTTTTGTCATGTGTTACCATATTAGACATTTTAATTAATGTGTTGTCACTTGTCAATCTATTAGTTTTTCATTGTAAATTTATTAAACCTCCTTATTAATGTGATTCTATTTTAAATTTTAAATTTTAAATTATTATTTTCATTAATTCACAAATAATATATATATATATATATATATTAAAAATTAATTTTATATATTTATTTGAATTAATGATTATAATTTCACATAACTAATAAAAAATATCTTTTAAATTAATAATTTATTTAAAATAACTTATTAATAATTTTTAGTTTTTACTATAAAAGTTTGATTAATTTTATAACCGTGGTTCCTATGAGTTATAAACTAGTATCTAATATTGATGTATACTATATAACAAACAATGTTAAATAATTGTTGTCGAAATTCTATTATACAAAACGTACAAATTCTTTATGAGCCGGTGTGTGTATAGACACCATAGAGGTAGGTTTTTATTTACTTATAATAACATATTTAGACATACAAAGTTACATCTAATACTTATTAATTAAAGGGGCGAATAGTAAACCAACCATATTAGAAAAATCCCAATAAAATATCAAAGGGGTGCATATCAAACCATTTTCAAATTAGTTTGTGTCACATCATATAGGTCCCATGGACCACAACAATTTTGTCAAGTTTTGAGTGGATAATGATGCCCATATGGTATGCATCATCATCATAAATGTAGAAATGTTGAGGTTAAATTCATTTTTCAATTCAAAAGCAACAAGATACTATTTGAGGTGACAATATTAATAATGCTCCAAGTGAAAGTTCCCCACTAAGCCACCTCCAATAATTCAACCAATTCCATTGGAATTTCAACTTCTTGTTGGGAATCTTCTTGAAAGAAAACTTCAACGTTGATGCCAAAAAAGATGGATCTTGAAGATGAAGGATGGGTGAACATTCCTTATGATGAGATTCTTGAAGCTAATGAAGATGGTGATGAAAAAAACTTTTCAAGAAAATACATCAAGAATCCTGCAAAACTTTTCAAACCGAAGTACTTCGATACCCCACAAAACTCCCAAGATTTTGTGAAAGACGAACCAAGATTTGAAAAACAATTACTTAGTATTCCAACCCAATTGGATCATGGACATGATCCAATTATGATCAAGGAGTCTAAAGAAATAACATCTGAGCATGAGCCTGAGCCTGAGTTTGAGTTGGATCAAGATCAGATCATTCAAGTTTCCTTCAAGAAAGAAAACCAATTTGTCGAAAAGAAAATGGGTTCTCCAAGATTGAGCTCTCGAGAACCCGATATGTGTAATATTGAAACAAGTCCTTTTCAATACGAGGAAAAAAGTGATGATCGTGTGATCAATTGTTCATCACCATCAAAGATGATCAAGCAAGAAGTCATTGCTTGGGATGAAAATAACGAAAGGTTGAATTTTTGGAAATGGGGTTTAAGTGGTATTGGTGCCTTTTGTTCTCTTGGCATGGTTGCAGCTACTGTTTGTATCATCATGTTAGGAAATGGAAGAAAGGACAAACAACAAAACGGAAAACTTAAGATTCAAATCTATTCAGACAACAAGGTTTGCCTACCCTTTTTTTTTATATAATTATTTTCATGCCTTAAATTGCTTTCTGTTTTTAAAGAGAAGCCGACTACAAAAAAGTACATAAAAATAAAATATATATGTACATGTTATTGGTAATTGATTAAGTTGATCCAATAAGAGACTAGGTAGTGTTTATTTGACTTAAAATTATGTTGTATTACCATAGACATATTGACTTAAAAATACATACATAAAATTGATTAAAGTTAATTTTTCTACTTATAAATTATCATTTTCAAATATATTTTTTAATTATTGACGCTAAATATGGATGTATAGAGGATAAAGAAAGTGGTGCAACAAGCAAATGAAGCAATGTCAGCAATGAGAGGGATTCCTTTGGTCAAGGCTCAAATCACATATGGTGGATACTATGAAAGTATCTAGACTGAAATTAGCATCTTTATAACAAGCAATTGCTTTAATGTAACATAAATATACGTCGTTGTTTAATAGTCTAAATTTTTTGTAATTATATGAAGTTCGCATCTAAACGCTTTCATCTACATTTTCATATATTATGATGAGATGTCAACATGACAAGAAACGAACAACAAAAATTAACTATAAGCTGCAGAATTAGAAAGGACTTGTATGTAAGATTGTAAGGTTGTTAAAATCGTAATTTTAAAAATGTCATCTAAATAAATTGATCCCATCTTAGTTGAATTGTTTTTCAGTAAAATCATTATAAAATTGTAGCAAATCATAAGATAATAAAATTCACTTAAACGGTGTAACTTTATCCGGTTTGATTTACCAACTCTTTGAAGACTTTTGGGATTGTTTAGGGATAATGACTTGAAAGGGTGACGAACTTTCGAATTTTGTTACATTTAGTCACTCAACTTTTTTTCGTTATCTATTTGCCATTGAACTATTGAAACTGTTCATATTTTACCCTTATGACCGGCTGTTACCGGTCATAAGGGTAAAATGTGAACAGTTTCAATAGTTTAGTGGCAAATAGATAACGAAAAAAAGTTTAGTGACTAAATGTGAACAAAATTGAAAGTTCATTTCCCTCTAAAAAGTTCAATGACTAAATGTGAACAAACTTCCTATTGTATTATGTTTTAGCAAATTATTTATTTTTGTTTAATTGTAGCAACATTTGTTGATGAACAAATCTATGAAATAAAAAAACAAAATGTAACATCCAGATTTCTAGGTATCATAATTGAAGTAATTTTCTTTTGTGTTAAGAAGAGAGACTCGACGAGTTGACGCCTCAACTCGTCGAGTAAGGTCGCGACTGATGACTCGGATTAATGAATGGACTCGACAAGTTGATGAGGCGACTCGACGAGTCCGCGTTGTTGGCAGAAACCCTAAATCTTTGAGCCCGAGCCATATTTAAAGGCACTTATGGCCTTCAATTGCAACTACTTTTCCCATAAGTGAGAACCCTAGCGAGCTTGAGTGTGTAGAGTGAAAGGAAGAGCTATCTTGAGCTTTTTGGTGTGATAGATCTGGACCCTTCTAGGTCCAGAGAGCCGAGAATATGAAGCTTTAGTAGAGTAAACCTTGGGGTTCGAAGTTAGGAAGCATTTATGGGATTTTTATGGTATATATAGTTATTTTCATCTTACACATAGATATGAAGTATTTTATATAAATTATGTGCTATTTGTGCATATTATTTGAATACTTGTTGTCTATGCTGGATGAACGATTTTATACATGTTTTAAAAGATTTAAACGGTATATTTATTTTATATCTATAAATATGTTGCGGATGAAACATGGGTAGATGAAATAGTTGGTGTGTGATGAAATAAAATGATGAGAGATATGTGATGATAGAAAGGTGATGATAATTAGGTAAATAGATGATGATGAATATGTGATGTAGGATGAAAGGAAATACCATAACCTTAACTGACAATGTGGCGATGTAGTCATCTACCAGAGTATAGATGGCGACCACGGACTATTCTAGACAACCCAGTGGAAACACCAGCAGGCCCATAACCTGTAGGTGATGAATTACGAGTTCAGGCGATGTTGTAACTACGTATTCATGCGATGATACTCTAACCCCTTACTATGAATTACGAGTTCAGATGATGTTGTAACTACATATTCATGGGATGTCACAAATTCCGCATGCCAAACTCATGGTCACAATTCACATCAGTGAGAATGGTTCATTTTTTTGTAAAACCAAAATCTGATTGGAAATTTTGATTTTTTATTTTGGAAAATGTCAAACCATTGGTTTTTTATTTCGGTTTTGGTTTTTTGTTTTTTTTAAATATATTTTCAGGGTTCTGTTTTTTTTTTTCATAGATTTCTTCATCAACAAATGTTGCTACAATTTAACAAAAATAAATAATTTGCTAAAACATAATACAAGAGAAAGTTTGTTCACATTTAGTTATTGAACTTTTTAGAGGGAAACGAAGTTTCGATTTTGTTCATATTTAGTCACTAAACTTTTTTTCGTTATCTATTTGCCACTAAACTATTGAAACTGTTCACATTTTACCCTTACGACCGGCAACAGCCGGTCATAAGGGTAAAATTTGAACAGTTTCAATAGTTCAATGGCAAATAGATAACGAAAAAAAGTTTAGTGACTAAATATGACAAACGTCGAAAGTTCGTTACCTTTCAAGTCATCATCCCAATTGTTTACTATTCTTTAAGCCCTCTAGAGTATAGGGTCTAGACTATAGATCGTTTCATTTCTAAGATTTATATAATAGATTTGAGTTTTTCTTTGTGATTTTAAATGCATGGCACATTTATTTAATGCTTTTGAGTTTTTTTTTCCTATGTAATTTAAATGCATATCACATTTAAAGATGACATCATTTGTTTTTTCAACAACTGAAACAGCTAGGATATGACGCCAAAAAAACAACTACAAAGTATTAATTAGATTCAATGTTTTAAAAAATGGTCCGGTTAGACCGCGGACGAGAGCGGTTTAATCAATATCGATTTTATGTCAATTTCTAAACCAGATCGAACCAGATGATTTCTTCAAAAACCAGGTTAAACCCGTAAAAAAACTGTTTGAACCGGTTTATTGGATTTGTATAGTTGAATTTTACTTAGCCTGTTAAACAAAATCTGATTTCCAAAGCAAACTGAACATTTTCAGAGTGTACACAACTCGAAAGCCGATGTACACTACCACCAAATGTAGAAACATTCTTAATTGAATTGAAGGTTGAACCAATTGAAACGACCGTCGAATAGGAAACTGATCATCAGATCGATTCAACTAAAAATATGATTTTTTAAACATTGATTAGATTTTGAAGCCATATAACATAATTAATAACAAGTTTTTGTTTCTACTACCAAACCATAAAATAACATGGAAATGACAATATTTTCCTTTCTTTGTTTTCCTTTTTAGTTTTTACCTCCAAAGACAATATAATATTAATATTCCCAGATGATTGACAAAGTCATGAAACACATAACTTCAATGACCACTTTTTAGGTGAATAGAAGATATCTAAGGGGGTGTTTGGACAGGAGAAAAAGAGGTGCTTATTGCTTATTCCCACAATAAGCTAATTTTCGTGTTTGGATAAAATCCAACTTATTAAGCTAAATAAGCTAATTTTAATAAACATCTCTCCCCATGCTTATTTCTTATTGCTTATTCCCACCACAAATAAGCTATAAGCAATAAACTGAAAAGCTAATCCAAACACCCCCTAAGGGAGAACTTCCATAATCGAGAAAAAAATGGGGTTTGAATATGTAGCCAAACAAAAGTCACGCTTCAAGTTGTAGCTGTTACTTTACACTTCAAAAACAAATGATCACAGTCTTCCATCTAATTATTCGAACATATGGTACACAACACCATAGGGACGTCAACATCTCTATAATCGAGGACAACTTGTGGGATGTCTATTCGGGCTTGTAGCCCAGTGGTATCAGGTGGTGCCCTCCCTCTTTGAGGTCGAGGGTTCAAGTCTCGTCGTGGATATAGGTGGAATATGTGTTGTTAGCTTAGGAGTAAATTAGATTGTTGGTTCAAAAAACAGATCACTATCCTAACAAAAATATTTAATTTTCTAAGAATGAAGGTTTCATTTAGGAACAAAAATTCATCGGTGCACTTTCTCATGACACCAAACGTGTACTCCACATAAATATCCAAATCCCAAACCCATATATCTCCTCGATTGAAAAATTACATATCTTCAATCAAATGTATATGCCCATAAATTTAGTCGATTCTTCACCTCCTTAAATCATCCTTTACTAGTTCCACAACCATCCATCATTCATTTGCTGATGAAAAAGAAAACAATTGCTCTCTCTTTCACGAGCAAATGACCTGTGAAAAAAGAAGAAGATGTTTTTCCAATCTAAACCTCCTTCCAAAACAAAGTTTTTGCCCCATCTCTCACCCTCTTTTTAAGAGTACTATTTGCAATAATTCCCTTGTTGTACATTTTGTTTTAAGCATCAATAATCTACTCTTACATATCGATACATCTCCAAGTCGGAGCCCTGCAGAATCCATATAAATCGACCTCTATAACTTGCACCCATAGAAACTTTTCTTTTATAACAAAGCAACATCTCTATTTTTGCAAAAGAGCATGGTTAAACGCCACTAAGCTGCCAATGTCTAAACTATCATTTTCTTTAGAAGATAGAATAACATCCCATTTCACCTAAATCAAGTTAAAATCGTCACCTTCCCCACCCCACAAAAACTTCTCTTGAAGACTCTCAAGAACCTTAGAAACAATACATAAGGATGATTAACATAAAATATATTTCTGGATATCCCAATAACGATTTAAGTAACATCGATTTACCACCTATAGACAAAGTGTTTACCATCTAATTAAAAAACCTTTTCTAACATCTATCAATGAAAATTTTCCAACCTTGCACCTTAGACATATTAGACCCCATATGGTTGCCGAGGTACATAAACAAAAGTTTCTATAGTCTATACCATGTAATAGAGGCATACCGACAATCACATGTCATCGGTATAGAGAAAATTCGACACACTTGGATTTCCGGATCTAACCTTTACCCGTAAAAAAATTTGTTGTGCCACGTGTAACATCCAAAAATTTTCCAGGCATAATGAGTAATTATCATAATTAAATAATGGAACTGTTTGGTTGGGCCTTAGCCTTTGGGCCTTGCGAATGGGCTGAGGAAAACGTGTAAGTAGGGAGTACATTGCCATGAACGCCCAACGTACTCATGAGAAGGAACCGCAGATGCCATGCATGTACACCCAACATACGTATGCAACTTCTTAAACCCTAAAATTTAGGGTTTACCCCCTATATAAGGAACATAACCCCTGTTGGTTCAGCCCCCCTTCATCCTTAACCAGACACCATGAAAAACCCTAGCCCATTTTGTGTGCATTTGTGTTCTTGAAGCCTTTTTAAGAGTGTTTGTGTGTTGTATTAGTGAGAAAAGAAGAAAGGAGCTTAAAGAAGAAGCAAGGATCCACCAAGAGCTTGTAGATCCAGAGGATTGGCATCATTTCTGCTCTTTTGAGGTATCAAGTTCCTTTCTTGGCCATTGTATGCTTAGATTTGTTTATTTTGGGGTTTTATGTCACCTTTAGACCCCATTGTTGAGAGTGCTTGAGTATTAATGGTTTCAGAGTTTAAGAGTTGTCCTTTTGGACTCTTGGAGGCATATAAGGTCACAAAAATAAGATCTTGATGGTTAAGCAACAACCATGCAAGTGCTAGTTAGTCTTGAAGCTTGTTAGATGGACTAAAATCATGTTTTGACCTCAACTACGCATGCAAGAACATAAAGTTTGTGACTTTATGGCTTAGGATGTCTTAAGGTACATGGATCTACATTCTGGATGTATAGACTTAATGGATTAAGTCACAAATGAAGCCTTAAGGAAGCTGACCAGTACACTGGGCGTACTCCCTGGTATGCCGCGAGTACTAGGTCAACTCCCTGTTTTGGTCAAGGCCAGCGTACATTGGGTGTACGTGCCAGGTACGCCGTGCGTATGCATGCAAATTGGGAAAATTGG